GTGTTCCTACCTGGTGTAATCCTCTGCGTGTTCTCCCTGCTGTTCTCCCTTCATGTTCAGGTTTGCCACTCCCCTGTGTAGTTTATCCCAGTTTAGTTTCGTCCTTAGTTCTGTTTGCCATCTCCACTTTGTGTTTGTTATTAACAATAAATCACCCTCACACCTGAATAAGTGCTGCGTTTTGGGTCCTCCTTCCACTCTCCACACGGCCGCTGCCCCGGACCGTGACAGTTCCAAGGTTTCGGTGCAGCAACTGCAAAGGCCCAGTCTCCTAGTCTGCTTCTAGGAACAATTAGAAGCAACTGATCAGCTGACCCCAGATTTTGTTTGGAGTATGTTTAGTTAAAAGTTCGGAGAGGCAAAATCTTAAAACCAATTCTATAATGTACTGGCAGTTTAAACGAGCCAAAACTGATGAAATATAGTCACGTTTACGTGTACCTGTCAAGATTTGGGCTGCCGCAATTTGAACAAGTTGGAGACAAGAGAGCAGAGCCTGGCTGATACCAAAATAATGGGCCTTCAGCTGGAAGAATGTGGCTTTAAAATGAGAATTTATTTGTTTCTCAAATGTAAAACTGCCAACAAAGATCATCCCCAAACTTTTCGCAAAGAGAGTTGTGGAGTTTTCCAAAGGGCTAAGGTAACCCTTAAGACAAGAACGAGGGTCAGGAGGTCCAAATAGTACAACCTCTGTTTTTTGATCATTCGCATTTAAAAAACAATTAATGCCAGCCATGATTTTATGTCAGCAAAGCAGTCCAGCAAAACTGTTTAAGAGGCTGTAGAATACTTTTTAAGAAGAAAGTAAATTTGTCAATCAGCATAACAGTGAAATGAGATTCCATATTTCATGTTCAACAAACCAATTTAAGTTGGTTTCACCTTTATGACATAGGTGTGTTATTTTGCTGACAGTAGTCATCAGAAGACTGGTGCACTGTAATCATGAAGGGAGGCGCATGATCAGCAAAAGCACTCAGCTAGGCTGTGGCGTTTAATTCATGCTCAACGGTACTAAGGTGCTCAAAGTGTGGCAAGAAAATATCCTTTACACCAGAGATCTCAACCTCCTGGCCCACGCACTTACTTTGTTCAATTAAGTAAATGCAGTTTTTGATGCGATCGGGGCAGATAACGTGAAGCAGGACAAGAAGAAGAAAAGGTAGTACTAGCAGAACTAAAAGAAGCAGAAGTGGATGAAGGACACGGACAATTTCAAGAAAGATGCATACTGCAGTATTTTTTGTTGAATTTTATGGAAATGTGATCTGCCTTATATGCAAGCAGAAAATTGCTGTGTTGAAGGAATATAATCTCAAGTGTCATTACGCAACTAAACGCAAAGAGCGTAATGAGAATAACAAGGGAGAAGACAGAAAACAATAGCAGCTACAAAAACGACTGCTATCCCTGCAAGAACTTTTCCACAATTCAGTAAGGACGTTATGCGGTTAATCGCCAAAGCAGGAAAGTGATTCACCGAAGGGCAGTTTCTGAAGGCCTGCATGTCACAAGCTGCTGATATTACATGTCCTGAAAAGAACAGCTTGTTCAACAACATCGCTCAGTTGGCAAATACTGTGGCAACGTGAATGCATTATCAAGTAACATATCAAGTAACAGTGGAGTTACTGTCAGTCAGCTCAAAGCATTCCTGCCCATTCTCCTGAGAAAATCTGAGTAGATCAGCAGTTTCTAAAATACTCAGAAACCAACAAGGATCAACAATCACTTTTTATTTCCTTCTGATGCTCAGATTGGACTTTATTAGATTCAAGATTCTTTATTTACCTATTCTTTATTAGGTCTTCTTAATCATGTCTACATGGCTAAATGCACTGAGTTACTGCCATGTGATCGACTGATTTGCTATTTGGGCTAATGAGCAGTTGAACAGGTGTACCTAATGAAGTGGATAGAAGAGAGTAGGAACACTGCACCAACTAGAAGAAAAGAAGTTGCAGCTTTAGTTGAAAACAGCCAATCTATGTGAGATCATAGGGTAGCTTGGTGCTAGGCGTTTATCGAGAATAGTTCAGGTTACTTTGTCAACACTTTCCCTTAAACTGTTTTGTCAAACTGTTCCACCCTGTCTCAGCAGTCACCCCGGAGTGCTGTCTCAGCAGTTACCAGCAGTTACTCTAAACGCTTATGTGAACAGTATCTGATCAGCGTCAAACACCTGTCCGGCATAATATGCATCTGTATGTGTGTTGTTCTCCAAACCTCTTCTTGGTGCAGCGATGTTATCAGTTCTAGTGAAGTGTGAGATAAATGGCTGCTCATGCTTACCTCAACCGAAGCCCTTATGGAGAGCAGCTGAACCAAGGCCCGGGGGATCCAACTGTTAAAACTGCCTTCCTCACCGCTTAGCAGTAAGGGCGGTAATTTTTACAGCTCGGTATTTTTCAGCAATTTCTGGGGCCTGAATGGGAAAAGAAAGGGAAAAGGGAAAGAGAGAGAAAAAAGAGCGCAGGGGGTCCTTGAGACTCAGCTGGTTGACAGCTCCTGTCTCTCTCTGTAACGACTTATTTATTCAGGGATAATTAATCAGGCGCAGTTTTATGGCGGTATGATTAATGCGCTTTGTCATTTGTGCTGCAGCGATGAAAATACAGTACCTACGATGCCGCTGCTCGAGTCTAACTGGCTCAGATGAAACGGCAAACAGGGGAAGTCCTGTTTGCCTCCCAGCAAGGAGCCGTGAAAGCAGGCCTAACTTTTGATGTGTGCATTCTCTTTCTGTAACAAAACAAAAAAGGAAAAACAACCACGTCAGGGAAATTTTTTTATATACTGCACTATTTAAATGCAACCTCGGGGCCTCTATTTATGCTTTGACGTTGACGCTGATGTAATCTGCAGAATTAACGTTCCTCGAAATTTACAGTTCGCGGTGTTGTGTTTCAGTGTAGTGCATTTTCCCCACACTTTGAATTTCTTCTCTTTAGTCAGCAGCTCCCTCCTCACGGCCCCGTCGTGCGACTCCTTAATCGCCATGCTGATCCGAGGGCGCCACCTTGTGGTTGTTTTTGTTACAAGAAGTACATGTGAAGTTCACATGAATTACAAGTGGAAACCTGAACTATTGACCTCTGTCGAAAGAGGGATTTTAGCGGCTCTCTTACGGGACTTTTTGATTGCTCAGTTTTTGGATGCCGCCCACTTAAAAGGAAGAGTAACTGCAAATCAACACAAATTAGTTTCAAGTGAGAGATTTCCCGTAAACCTATGAATCACAAGCAATTACTAAAACAAAAGACATTTCGAATGACGCTCTTCTATCTCTCCACCTGAGGTCCTTGTGGAAGGGTCAGAGCTGTTTTTTCGCTGTTTATTTGTGTATGTTTCATCAACTGTCAGGAGGTTTATACAAAAAAAGAAAAAAAAAACTTGTGAAACTTGTTGGGCGGGTGCCTCATAGGCAAAGGGAGGATTTATTACAGGTTGGTGTGAGTCTAGATCATTTCCCGTGGACTCTTTAAGGCTAGAAAGGTGCCGTACAAACACTGTCCACTTACCATTACCATGTATCAAAGTGTAAACTTCATACAATTCTGCATACAGCCTTTTATATTATGATGGGGAGCTTGTAATGCAAACCACTTCCAGGTAGGCTACTGAAAAGACGCTGTGCCTGGGTTGGGCGTTTCCTTTCCGAGCAGACTTGTTTTTGTTCTTCAAGGTGTCAAATGTCAGGTGATTCTTTTAACTGGAAGGCTATCATCCTCTGGATACCATTTACTTGTTTTTATTCAGTAACTGCCTTTGTTGTTCACTTTAATGCGTATGAACACTTTAATACTGTCAGATTTTGCTGTTATGTTATTTTTTTAATTGTATAATTAGTTACTTTTATATCTTCTTCTTCTTATATCAAGCACAAACAAAGCGTGGTGGAATACACTTTATTTTTACAAAAGCCTTACATTTTTACACACATAACAGCTCACGGCAATGCCATGTATCGCAGGACATTGCCACAATGGTTCTTCTCGGATTAGTAATCTTCCTCATCACCACGTCTTGGCTGTTGACAAGAAAACAAATGAGGTCATTTTTCATGTAGGGGTTGCATCCATTAATGCCCTTTTCATATCATGTTAACATTAGCTTTATGAAGATTTGCACTATGCAGAAGTTGAAACAGAGTACTGTTTCATCATATAACGAGTTATTGTTTCATAATGACCAGCAGATGTCACTATAAACCCATCCGGCAATATCTTACCTTGGATTTGCCACAGTTTCTGATCTTGTTTCCTTGAGAAAAAAGCAAAACCAAGTGATAGTTAGCTCCTATCAAAACGTATGGATAGTTAAACTACTCCATTATTATCAGGATGTTCTAAAAACTCCCTGAAAAGCCTTCAGCCGATCCAAAATACTTCAGTGAGAGTACTGACAGGGACTAGAAAAAGAGAGCATATTTCTCTGTATCTTCATTGGCTGTTCACACTCAGCCAGCCTTTCCAGCCATGTCTTCGGCAATCCTCACCTTAGGTGTTCCATTTGTTAGGGCCTTTGTTTCTATTTTCCTTTCTTTTCCATTGAAACACATATGAAATCTTATACAAACACAAAACACAGCACATATAGGATGGGAATGCTGTCTTACCTGCCAACAAAATGATGGAAAGGAACACAATGACCCCGGCAAAGATCAGACCTCCAAGACGCAGCTTCTCATAATCTGCAAATTCACAAAGCGCTCTGTCACTACACCATTACTTTCCACCCCCTCACCCCCCAGACCCCTAATCCTAACGACAGAAACTGACTGTATCTTGCTTTCTACACACTATGATGAGATACACTTTTTTAAGACGTAGTTGCTTACCATATACAAAGTCTGCATCAAGGTCAACATCTGCACCTATTGAAGGACAGCGAGTGGAAAGAGATACAGAGCCAGTAAAAACTGTTTTCTACAGACACATAACTGCAAGCTGCATCAAGCTCAAATATTGAAGCTATTTTTCACTGTGTTGTGATTTGGACACATTCAAGGCTCAATTCAGTGTTTTATTTTGTGCACGTTGTGAAAACAGGGTGACAGTCTAAATTGGTCCATTGTCTGAAGTTGTGCACAGACAACAAGCTCTTCTGGCAGATCGTAAGTGACTTTAAAAGTCCAAATGTTTCTTTAAATAATGATTCTGTATTCCATTATCAGCCCCTAAATTTGTTCTCATTTTACTGCCTCCACAAATGCACTGTCATATAATTTATTATGTCACCTTATTACCAAAAAGCCAGAGGCATAACTAGTAATGCAGAAATTCTAAGTAAGCATGATTGACTGTGAAACAATGCTTAAATGCTAGAAGGTCATATTTTCCATGACCAGTGTTAACCTTTGTATTGTTGTTCATAATATTAATAACAATAAAAAAGGGAACTTTACACTCCCCTGATATATGACTAACATGCTCACTTGTGGTTCTGACTCAGAATCACAACAGTAAGTTTAGCTATGACCTTGCGACTGTTATGTCACTCGAATGCGTCTGTTTCCTTGCCCTGACGTTTGTTCATAATGAGCAGTTCAGCTGCTGTGTAACTCACCTTTAGGAGAAGACATGTTGTCTTGTTTGTGTGTTCAGCTGGTCGAACTGCAAAAAGATAATACAAATAGGTTTTTTTTTTATTTAAAGTGTGCGTGTGCGGGGCGATGGGGGGTTGCATCTACCAACCGGTGATCCACCAAGGTCCACTGTTTTAAATTATTAAACACAAACCTTTGTATTAATAGCATTCCCACCATTGGGTCTGGTATGTGAAAGCGTGTCTGGGTTAAAAAGTTTGTGGGCATTTTGTTTCTACAGCCCTTCTCTTGTAATAAAGTTTGACTGTTCTAGTAGCTAATTTAACTGGGCTTATTCACTTTAGATGAGAGGCAGTTGAAAGGCTTGGAAACTTTATATGTCCTGAACAAATTGCCCTGTGGGTTGCCTACTGCAGTCTTAATGGCAAAGCGATTGCCTTGATCTTCACTGAGAGGTTAATGGCAGTATTGATTCTTCTTCCGCACCCATTCTGCCAACATCTTTCACCACCCCTCCCCACCACCAAAACCACACGCATTCCCACAAACAAGCGTTTCTTGTTTGATCTCCAAGTCTTTAATTGTTAACTTAAACAGATTAAAGAACTGAGACTTTCCCTGGCTCTCTCCACTTACTTCAAGCATGCCATTGTGTGCATTGTGAATTTCAGTTCTTTAATCCTTTATGTGCCTGGGCCTTTTCAATGCACCACTGAGCATAAGGGCATACCGGGCAGTTACTCATTAATATATTACAGCTCCAATATTCATTAACCTTGAACCTTGCACAGTCTGATAGAGGTTATAGATAGAACATGGAAAAGAAGCTGCTGTGACGACTGCCTAATTGATATATAGTGATTTTGGCAAATAAAGACAGCACCCCTAAAGTCAAGCACTACATCACTGCTATGAGATTTCTTTAAAAGTGGGCATCTAGCAGGATATTTAGTAAACAAACTACTGTCCTCTAAACCCAGCTTTACAACACATATTAACTGAGCCATGAGAACATGTTTTGGACTATTTGGACAGCCTGCATTCAAAGGTTAAACTTTTCATTGCAGGAATGCCGGTAATTCACATTTAATACAGAAATAAACACGGAGATTAATTTAAACCTATTAAAACATGTATCTTCCATACATGATCCAGCTCTAACATTTATTTAAATAATTTTAAGGTAACAGATTATTGTGCCACATTTATTTTAATATTTATTTTAAGAGAGCAGTCACTCACCTTAGCTGCAGAAGGCTCTGTATCACCACTGTCCAGGTGTGTCTGCGGGTGGCCCTGTCTGCATTTCCAGACCAGACTCCCACAGTAGAAATCCCCACCCACTAAACCACCCCTCCACGCTCAGGCATATTTTAGTTCAGCCGCTCAGTTACATATTTATAGTCTCATAAAATTTGCAAGCTGGTGCCAATAAACAAAAGCTGCTTCAACCTTTGGAATCGTAACAGAAAATGCAGCATGTTATAGAGTCTTCAGGTGGAGAAATCTTTCCCTGACACATGGTTTCATAGCCCCAAGTGACAGTATTATAACCTTGACTGACATTGATTGGAAAACAGCAGAGTGATTTCAAATGCTGTTTGACGTTTGCATGTAAATGAATGTTTATAGAAAGTTCCCTGAAGAAAACAATAAGAATCCAAATTCTACAACAAAATCAGGTTTTCAGCAAAATAAAAACAAAAAAGAAATAAAAGAAATAAACATAAAAATACACGTTTTGTGTTCCGCCACTTTTATTTATGCCAAAGCACAACAGGTTGCCACACAACAAGGCTCTTGTGTGAAGAATGAACATATTTACTTGTTTAGCTGTCATGTTTAATTTCAGACTTAATACTGGTTAAAACCCGACCTGGCAGCAGGGTGACAACAAGGACTAGTCATCTATACTCTCTCTATAATTTGGCTTACATTAGGCTACTATTAATGTAGTCTGGCAAACAAATAATATCAATATCACGACTCTCAAACTCCACAGACAAACTTAATCTCTCTTCCGGCAGTGTAATGCATGTCTAGTTATTTAAAACATCATGAGACTGACTAAACAAATAACAAAGAGAAAAGAACGATACCCTGGCTCGACAGATTTGTGGCACCAGTGAGTGTGTATGGGAAAACTAATTATAGCCTGCTGGAGACTAGCTAATCCTGACGGAGCCAGTGACAGAGCAGTGGAGTGGATATGTGGAGAAGGTGGCAGTGAGATAGCTGATGCAGAAGCTTCCTCCACTATGAACTGTTAAACACTGCGGTGGAGGGGCCCATGCAGGCACCTGCACACTACTGTGCTCCCTCAAGAGAGCTGTGGCAGTTGAGATTGTCTTATATAAGGCTCATCACACTTGCATGTAGAGATGCACATGCACTTGTGATGTACACACAATCATACACATACAGGATATGCATGCACACATAACTACACTCATGTGGCCACACAAACACACCCAGCCATTCACACTTAGACGTAAATGAAGATATTCATATTTCTGTGAACATATTTCCGTGAACTGTCAGTACTACTTATACACATATCGTATTGATACATATATATATATATATATATATATATATATATATATATGTGTGTGTGTGTGTTATATTCTAACTGTGGCAAAATAAGACGCTGGACAATTAACAAAACAATTAGGAACAGCAGGTCACACAAGATTTGAAAGTCTTCTTTTCTTTTAAAGACAATCTTGCATTAAAGGTGCTACTGGCTACGACAATGAAGTGGAGACACGGTCACAGAAAGGCACAGGACTGGACAAGAGCACAGGCAGCGAGGGAGGGACTGGCATGATCACAACGAAGAACAGCAGGCACAAGAATTATGTACATATCAGCATTAATCCTCTAAACATATACCTCCCCTCTTACCCTATCGCATGACCGGTTATAATAATCACCCACACCTTCACTATTATTGTAGACAAGTATCAAATAAAATCTTCATTTCAGAAGGTAGTTCTTTAGAGTTGCCTCAGTTCTCTGGTGGAGTCTCCTTGGCAGCTGCTGCAGCTGAAAAAGGTCAATGATGAGTGAGTTAGCTGAAGCGAACATGCAAAACATTAAACTTGCCCAGAGTTATTTCTTGTTAAATATTCCTCTCCTGTGCCAAAACATTCACTCACTTGCAATCACTTGAAGGTGAAGGACAATGCTCAGGGCTCTGCTGCTAATTGAGGGCCATTAAGTATGCAAGGAGTACCTGGATTTTGTACTTGTGACCTTATAACAAAGAGCACTACTATAGAGTATATGTATTCACTCACTTAATGTACAAGGTATGCACATTTTAGAGTGGAAGATACTCTTATAACTCACACAAGTTAACTCATGCAATTCAGTAAAAATGCTATAAATATCATATCAAAATATTCAATTAAAACACATAGTCCATATGCTTTCTTGAAAAGGTGTACTTTAATTCAAACCTTGATTGTTCCCCAAACCTAAAGTAGTTTTGTTGCATAAGTTTAACCAATTTTCACTTTAAAACTAAAAATAATATCTTAAAGACAAACTTTCTGGTCTAAAGCTTAAAGACAAACATTCTCCCTGCTACCTTGTGAATCACTGAGCTCTTCTTGAAGACGGCATGAAAAGAAGCTAAGATTCACTAAGATTTAAAGCAACAGGTGCTGAAACATCTCTTTAAAACATGGATTATATACAGTGGACTAAATCCACTTTAAAATGAAAAGTCTAAGCAATATTTCTAAGCTAAAACTTGAAAACCACATAATGGGGAAATACACGGTATACACCAACTTTTTGTGGGGTGTAAGAATATATGTCCTCTTCAAGATGTTATTTAAAAATATCTTGAAATATATCAAGCACTGTTATGTAATAATGACAGTAATAACGCTGTTTATATTTGCACTTTTTCTTTTATAGCATATCGTAAAGTATATTTTTTGCTGTGATTTTACTGGTTTTATGTGACCAAAGGATCACAATGCATCTTCCATCAGTAGCTTTAGACAAATGGATAACATGAGAGCAGAAACACTGCAAAAAATGATCCCACATTTGACTGATTGTTTAAAAGCCTTTTAACTGTAAAAAAAAAAAAAAAAAAAAAAGCAGATATTGCAGATATTCTGAAATGTAGCCAAAAGGAGCAGATTTCCCAGTTCCTGTGTTCTATGGGCTCTCTCAGAAGGAAACTTAATTATGGATGTATGTCAGAGGGTGAGCTTGAGGTGAGGAGGAAATGTGCATCTTACCCTTGGAGACAATCAGATTCTCCTCCTGTGCCTCTTCATCTCCGGGGGCCCTGAAGAGAGGATCCACAGGTTGTCATGGTAACTAAATCAAATAGTATGACCCAAAAAAGCTCTTCATGCAGCAAAAAAAATCATTTCTGTAAATCAGAGAGGGACACTGACATACCTGGGCTTCTGGTTAATACCACAGCGGCATCGCCGACCTGGAACCACATTAAACTGTCAGCTGTATTGTTCTGTTGTGAACGAAACATCTGTGTCATCACTATTAAAGTGTTATGTGAAACAGCGTGTAAGAAAGGTCATGGAGTAGAATGATGTGAAAATTCTATGAAAATGCAGTTTTTTATAATTAAATTGTAACATTTGGTTATAATGGAGAGCGTGTGTAGACATGATGAAACGACACACACAAGGTTAACTTACTGAGGATTAGAAGAATGCCAAGTGTAAACAGCACCACTGCAAATGCCAATCCCCCAATCCTCAAGGTCTCATAGTCTGCAGAAGAAAGAAAGCAACAGCAGGGGTGTAATTTAATCATTGTTTATCGCAAATAATGCTTTATAAAAATTTTAATTTATTTATTTTTAGGGATTTACAATGAGTCTATGTCTATGTAATTACTTTCAATGTGCTAGTTATTTCAGAAGGTTTTGCTTTAACTTACCATAAATAAATGGGTTTTCAGATGTATTGGTTGCTGCAAACAGGAAAACAAACACATTTATAAAACCACAATGAGAAATCAAAACACATTGTCTCAGTTGCAAGCCTGTATCACTATTATCAATACACTTTTCTGAGTGTTTTGTGACAAAATCCATGTCTTTCTTCTTTTGTAATCTATATAATTATTTTTATGACTCATCTTGAAAATTAGTCAACTAAAATCAGCTTTCCTAAGGGTATTGGTAGTCATTCAGGAAATTATTGCTCTGTTAATGAAAATGAAATGGATATAGAAGACCACTAACTCAGTGATCTGTCTCTCTCCTCAGCTAATACAGACTGGAAGAGCGTGTGTTTAAAAAGATAAATACTCTTTGTTTGTTTTTTCAGAAACAAAATGTTATTGTGAACAGGATGTTTATCTCAATAACAGTATCTCAGGATATCTCAGTATTTTTGTTTGTGCTAAAATGACTATACTAAGCCTAAGTCAGTGTGTTTCTAGTTTCAGTCTGGAGTGGCACTGTAAGCTGAAACTCTAATGTAATAACGAATTGTAACTTCACACATTATCATATCCAGCTTACATAAATATATACACAATATAAAACACATGGTACTTATTTAATAGATTCTTGTTATTTATGTACAAATATTTATAGCTTTATATGTCAATAGGAGATAAGCTGGGGAAAGCTGGCATGAAACAATATTGCATATAATAATATCACATATTAAATAGATTTCATATAAAATGTCATTTACTTCAAGCAGTGATTTTTCAGTAATAGCATTATGATGGTTTGACTTTGAAACAGTGCTCTTTAGATGCAACACTTTAGATTTCATAGATTTTGAAATCCTATATATTTATCCTACTTTATCAACTCTATTTCTTGCGAAATTACTGCTCATATGTCTTCAAAACTAGAATCTGTTTGGGTTAATAACTTGGTCTGGTAATTTTAAGGCTCTATCAGTACATCCGAAGAGTCTGATCTAAACATGAATAGATCATCAGTAAAGCACTTAAGATCAATGTTTGACCCCATTAGAGACCACAGGAAGAGTACTCACCCCCCTCTGTATCAGTGTTTGTTGCAGCTGCGAGGCAGAGTGTTAAGTGGTTAAAGTGAAAAGGTGGAAAGAAAACAGAAAGGGGAAAAGCACAGGAAATTAGAGGGCCATAAGTGAAAGATGAAAAACATATCTTTGCAAATTCAGTCCCACACAATAAGAGACCAGGCATGCAATCAGTAAAATCCACACTTAAACTGATGTTTTTCTATGGATTTGACTTGTCCACCCCCAGTCCTTTTCCATGAAATGTCACCGCTTGCGCCAACACTGCCTCCCTATGGACAATCGGCGAGTGTGCATGCATGTGTGTTTGTATGCATGGATGCACGTGTGTGTTGCATGAGTAGGGTTGTACTTACCAGTCATATATACAAGGAGTGAAGAGACGATGAGCAAAATAGTTTCCATGGCAACTGCTAACACAGAGTAATGAAAAAGAAAGGGGGGGGGGGGGGGTGAGAGAGAATTGAGGAAAGACAAAATAGACAGTCAGGGGAATTTTGTTGTTTGTTTGTTTGATTGTTTGTTTTCCCCACTCCACTCCAGCACATTCATGTCTGCAGTCTGGTACAAAAACAGCAACAATGAACATGCATTCAAGGTATACTGCGCAAGATGATGACCACACAATTACGCACCTATTGAGTGAGAGGAAAGAGGACTCACATCACGCACAACATTTGCTCTGTCCAGCCTTTTGGAGTATAGCAGATGTCAAATGCTTGTGGATACAGCTTTTATATTGCACAATGATCTGTGTTCAGAGCCATACATGTTCTCTTTTTCTGGCAGAGACTGCTTCTTCGTCTCTGTGGGCATCACACAACCTTGACCTGTTTTTATGTAGGCTATTCAGTGCGCACCCACGTGCAGACACACACCATGTCTGCTACAGAGATATCTCTTATGTTCAGGCAACTATAATGTTGTTATGTCCAGGCAAACTATAATGAGCTAAAATATTTTATGTATTTATTAATATTCAGTTTATTTAATTAATCATTTTTTAGACATCCAAGGTATATGGCTCCACAACTCGCTATGTTGGAGTGTCAATCAGCCGGTGGGTTCCCCACTTTGACCCAGATTAAAATATCTAGGGCGTTATTACGTGGGTTGTCATGACATTCTGCACAGGGAAGGGACGTTTGTTTTTCACAATATCATTAACACAATTCACGGTAACATAGAAATGAAAGGTATTACACATATGGATGGATGGATGGATGGATGGATGGATGGATGGATGGA